GCCACCGAGGGCAGGCTGAGAAGCTGCTGCAGACTGGGCCTCGCTGTGGGCTGCGTGGCCCCCTTTCAGCTCCGCTCCCCTCCGGGTGGGCTTTTCATATGGCTCCTTTATTCTCTGGAGACTCTCCTTTACCAGAAGTCCACCAGGTAAAGAATGGACAGCCCTTGAGGTTTGGAAGTTTTCAGAAATGATCATCTTAAACAAGGCCCACTTTTTACTTTCAGAATTAAATCTTTTGGGCCAGGTTATGTTTACTTGCAAAACTGGATTATCATAACTTCCTTCCAAATTTTTATTTTGTGTATTTTTGTTTGCTTTTACTGTGTTCTTTCAGAGTCACGTGATGTGAATCCATTTTCTTAAAATGTAATTTTAACTTCAAAACTCCCATGGGACTTAAACCAGTAACAATGTGTTAACACATATGCCATCCAAGTGTAATGATTTCAGAAGTCCAGATGGTTTCTGTCCAGAATTGTGGATGTGAGCTGAGATCTGAGAGAATTTAAAGATGCTCCCTTTGGCTTCCCTCTGAATGATTTACTCCTCCCTAGACACTGGGATTAGGTGTACCTTAAGGTCTGTCTAAACTGAGGGCGTCAGATGACAACGTGTCTGGCTAGCCATTCATTCCCTAGAATAAATGACTGATTCTCCATCTCTTGCGTCTGAGTTAGAGCTAGTAATAAATAGTGAGCAGGTCCTGGTGGCCGTCTCATTTGCCAGATATGAGCCCTAACCGATGGACCTCCAGGAAGGGGGGCTATTCTGTCTGCGTAAGCAGAGAAATGATGAATAGTAAGCGTGAATTAGCACCATCTGGGTTGAAATTTCCCATCAGGGATGAACACTTATTTAAAAAAATTAATGATCATTGACAGTTTTCCCCTCTTATGCCTTAATGGGTGACTTTTAGAACAGCCTACTGAATTGGCTTTTAGTTTTTAGTCTCAACTGCTTGTTTTCAAAAGCTCATCCACTTACTAAGTTTTAAAAAATGTATAAGAGCGACTGGCAGGCTGCTGCTTTGATGTTCGGTGAAGGTTTTTGTTCTTGTTCTGTTTTTAATTTAGTAGTGACAGGGGGGCATGGATCTCTGGGCAGCTAATAATAGCTGTGAGATGAAGTGAATGATTCTGCATTGAAAATGAGCTTGACCTGAAGGCAGGCAGCCTGCATGACTGCGGTAGGGAACTGGCACCTGCTGAGGAATTCCCGATGGCTTGTAACTGATGTAAAATTTATGAATAGCTCCGTGGAAGTTAGTCTTTATGTTAACAGAAGCAGGCATCAAAACATCAGCTAAAATTAGCTCTTGCTGGCTGATAAAGTCTCCTGGCTGGCCTGGAAATGGCTCAGATCAGAAGAAATGTAGTATTTCAGCAAGTTTTGCCTGCCATTTGTCACCTAATACTGGTAATGGTTTGTTTATTCATTTTACAGACATTTATGAACTTATTTGCCAAGCGTTCATTCTTTCAGCAAGTGTTACTTGGGTGCCCACAATCCCCAGGGACTGGCCAGGAACAAGGGATATAGCTGTGCCCCAGGCAGCCACAGTCCATACCCTCTAAGCCTCTGATTTTGCGGGAGGGCCGTGAGAGGGGCTGCGCAGGCACCGCTCGGGGCGGGGTGCCTGTGCTGAGCAGCTACCACATGCCTGCCCCGAGGCTGCGTAGGAAGGAACCAGTCCCTTTCCTCTGGGCACACAGCCTAGTAAGGGGACACACGCAGAAAACAGGCATTCTAAAAGACAGTGACACTAGACGGCAGGTTTTGTGGGGTGCACAGGAGGGAAGCCAGGCGTTGCCTCAGTCTGAGCTGCGATTGCTAACGACCGCCCTCTGCCCCTGCAGCATGGACAAAGACAGCCCGGACATCCACCAGGACCTGAACGCCCTCAAAGCCAAGTTCCAGGAGATGCGAAAGGTCATCAGCAGCATGCCTGGCATCCACTTGAGCCCTGAGCAGCAGCAGCAACAGCTGCACAGCCTCCGGGAGCAAGTCAGGACCAAGAGCGAACTTCTGCAGAAGTACAAGAGCCTCTGCATGTTTGAGGTCCCCAAGGAGTAGACAGGCTGGCTTCCAGGGACGCCCGAGAGAAGAAGAGGAGGGCACGAGGCCTTGCTGTCTTCCCCACCGCTCCCTCGGAGTGTGGTTCTTGCAGACCCTAGCTCTGACCTTTGTAGCCAGATGGGGCAAGCTGAACCTGGCAGTGCGAGCAGCCGACTGGCCAGCCTGACTTCTTTGGGCTTCCTTGTATATTAACGTATGTCTAGATGTGTGCTGACTCAAGTGCCTGCTGGGGAAGGAGGAATGTTCCTAGAGGCTGGGGAGGGGCTGGAGGAGTCCACCCCTGCCTCTGGGGAGGGTGCCGTCTGCTGTGCATTCAGGCTCCGCCTGCAGATCTGAAGAGCACAGTAGGAAAGGAGGCGGCTCCTCTCTGCTTCCTGCCCTCCCGCCCCTCCCGCCCCCTGGATATGATCAGTGCGTACCAGGTACATTTTGTTCTGTTAACAGCAGTGTGGTGAAACACTTGCCTAGAATTCACTGGACAAATTAGGCCTGCGTTCATATGGCATAGATTTAAAATGGTAAAAGAAGGCACTGAGAGAATGCACATTGTTTTGAAAGCCTACAAGGTGGCTTCCCCCCCCCGCCCCCCACACAGTTTGGTTCGTTTTATGTTTGAGCCAGTGACTGTCACTGTGTCTGTGGGGGATCAGCCTGGAGCCCTGCCGGGCCGGGCCATCTCCAAGTTCTCTGCCACCTACGTGTTCTTACTTTTAGCTCCTGCTCCCTTCGTTTCCTGTCCCCCTCAGTCACCCTGTGTAGCTGTTTAATGCCCAGGAACAGCTGAACCACTTGAAACCCCGCAGGGCTTCCCACGGGCCGCAGGGTACTGTTGTTTCTTCGCGGGCTCAGAGGTTTCCAGGGGAGCAGACCTTGCCTCTTGCAGCACTTAGGTTCCCATTGTCCTGGTTTAAAACATGATTTCCCCTCTGGCCTTCTCACTAAAGAGCCAACCATGAGCACTTAGTGCACTGCAGACAGGGGTGTGCACGAGTGACCTGGGTCCCAAGGAGGGCGGCTCTAGGTGACAGGTCTGGTGTCCCTCGGCTAGATGTGGCTGTAGAGTTCAGAATCAGTTCTGAAGGGGTGGGGCGAGCTGTACCTGGAAGTTTTGCAGCCAAGTCCTCCTCACAAGTGTTGGTAACCACCCTCGTTTCTTCCCATGGCATATTGTGTCTGTGCTCTTCCCTTGGCCATCAGATGGAGGTAAGAGCTGTTCTTGCCCTTGCCCTTAAGGATGAGGTGACAGGTGACCGAGTAGTGTTTAGGTCCAGAAATGGCCACATAGCCTCTGCTGACCAATTCGGGGCTTACCAGATGCCGGCTGACCGACCTCGTTGGCAGGAACACTGGTCGAAGATGTTTTCAGCAGGGGTCCCATCTCTGTGGACTGCAGCCACCTGTCAGGAAATGGCTCACACTGGGAACCCAGGGATGTGGGATGTGGGAAGGGGGCTCTCCGGTCATGGTGGCTTTAGAGAGAAGAGCAGGCTCTGGGTTCAGGTGGGTCGTCACTTGTTGGACCAGTTCCACCTTGGGACTGGTAGTTAACTGAGTCACTTATTTCCCTGAGATTTCGGTGCTCGGAAGCGCGGGCCGGCTGGAAGGCTCTGAGCAGATAGCGTGAAACACGGAGCGCACAGAAATACAGACTGTTGCGGCTGCTGCGAGGCGAACCCGACTGGGGCTCCCCGGGGCCGAGGGAGAGGGCCCCTTTCCTACATCCAGTGTTGTGACTGGTGAGATCTTTCTGGAGTGTAATTAAAGGAACTTGTGCTCTGCTCTCGGGACAACTTGGTTTTGTCCTGAGGAGTTGACAGTGGGATGTCTCTTTGGGGTAGTTGAGAAGAAAACACTCACTCTGCTGACCAAAGACGGAGTCTGCGCTCCGCGCCCCCCTCCCCCAGCACATGCCGCTAAGCGGCCAACCAGTAACACCTCCCAGGAGTGGCACCTGTCTGTCCCCAAGAGTGCAGTTGTCCTGGGGGATCATCCTGCCTGCCTGTGCTTGGTCCCCCAGGCCATCCCTTGGTGTGGAGGTGGGTCCATCCTGGCGGGGCACAGCCCTCCCCAGAGCAGAGGTGAACTCCCTCCCCAGGACGATATTAGGTGCTCCTCACTGGGCTGAGCACCCTCATGGAGCCACCCATTACTTGGCTTCCTGGGTGGCAGGCTCTGCACTGAATGCTTTCCCGACATCATGCTTGCTCCTCGCAGCAGCCCTGTGCTGGGGATGTTCTCTGTGTTTCACAGGGGAGGAATTTGAGGCTCGGCACGTGTCACTCGCCCCAGGCTTGCACGGTTGTGAGCGGCAGAGAGTTGCACCCTGAGTCGGGAGCAGATGCCCTCAACTGCTGCGAAAAGAAGACAGCAAGGCAGAGAAGGGTGCTGGACCCCCACCCCGGGGCAGCGAGCTTCCTGGAGCTGGCAGGGCACAGGAAGATGGGTGATTTTAACTGTCTCCAGACAGCCCCGGGGCAGACCCTGAGAGGAGTTCAGGGCCCAGGGTCCCGCCCCAGCCTAAGGCCAGATTAGTTTCTCAAGGCTCCATTTCCCATATGTGCCAGCAGGGCCTGAGTGACCCTTCAGACCGTCTGAGAGGTTCAGGTGTGACACTGTCACTCAGCCTGCACTGAGTGTAGGATACAACGGCTGGGCCCAGGGAAAAGGAAGCAGGTACATGGCTAGAAAGCTGCATCTCTTGGGTGGCCCCTGGCATCCTGTTCCGTCCTGGTTTTCTGAGGAGCTGCTCCAGGTAGAAGGCTCAGCAGCCATGTGGGGCTTCTCCGGGGCCTTTCTCCCGTGGGCTGAGGCTGCTTCCAGAAGGCCAGGCTCTTCTCCAGGTCAGGCAGCTTCTGATTCCACAGAAGGAAAAGCCCAGCCCTCCTCACCCTCCCCTCTAGCCGTTTCTAAAGGCGAAGAAAGCATAGGTTTTCTGTTTTATTTTATATTAAAAAACCGATAACAATAACCACACACACAGTATAAACACCTGGGTAAGATTTTGTTCATGTCCACGATACCAGAGCTACTATTAAAGTGCAAGTTTTATGTTTTGTTTTTTCTTTGTGCAATTTCACACAAATGTAAACAAGTCACTTGGCCTCCGTTTCAGGAGGGCAAAGGTTTTCACCAGCCGTCCTGGCAACCCAGAAGCACAAGGTAATGCCCCATTTGTGCTGGCGGCTGCTCCAGCCGCCAGGACGGGTTTCTTCAGGCCTAACAGTGGATGATCAACTTCCACTCCCTCCCCATTCTTAGCTCTTTATGAGAAAAGACAAATTCACCCGCGGCTGGGCCCGCACCCCCAAGTCCGGGCGTGGCGGCGCCCACGGGGAATCCGCGGTGGGGGAGTCCCGGTGTCAGCCAGTCCTCTTTCCTTCCAGAGCAGATGACGGTCCCTTCTCGGTTCGTTTGCGCCTCCCCAGTGCGCGGGGCCCGGGTCACCGGGAAGGAAGACGCCGGTCAGCGCGCGCACGCGGCCGGGGCGCAGCGGGCTCGCCCAGACGTCAGATTTGACTTTTAAACAAAAAGGTCCTCCTTAGGATGTGTCGCCGGCGCGGGGGTTGCAGGGCTCCTAGCTGATGACGCAGCGCTCCTTGTCCTTTGCCTGGCCGCCACCGCTGGCCTTCTCGCGGATGTACATGAGGTCGCTGTGCACGCTGGGCCTGCGCGCGAAGGGCGCCACGATGCCGAAGGCGTCGCCCCGGTCGCCGCCGCCGCTGCCGGCTCGCAACAGTTTCTTGTTCCGCAGCGCCTTCTTGTGCAGCACGTCGCAGTCCTGGACCGACACCTTGCGGTGCAGGTCTGGGCTCATCTCGCTCGGCAGCTTGGCCATGGCGAAGAGCGCCCGGAACATCTGGTCCAGGCTGCTGTTCTTCTTGGCCGAGATCTCGAAGTAGGCGCAGCGCTGGGGGTCGCCCCCCACCAGCTGCTCGATCTCGCGCTGCTCCACCTCGCGGTAGAAGTCCCGGTCGCCCTTGTTGCCGCAGATGACCAGAGGCACGTCCACGTTCTCCTTGGTTTTGTTTTTGAGGCAAGACTTGGTGTCGAGGATCTGCTGCTTGAGCCTCCGCACCTCCTCAAAGGAGTCGCGGTTGTCCAGGCTGAACACCAGGATGAAAACGTCTCCTAGAGGGGACACGGCGCAGAAAGGACAAGGTGAGGGCGGCTGCCAAGTGGACGACGGAAGTTGGGCTGACTTTGGGGCCGCCCTGCCGCCTGGCACCGGGGCTCCAGCAGCCTCGCGCGGGGCGCGCTGACGTCTCCGCGGGCAGAACTTGGCGCGCCGCGGCGGGACTGGCGGAGCCCGCCCCCAGCTCGGCTCGCCGCCGGGGGCCCTTGGACGAGGGGTCTCCGCCCCTCCCCCGGGCACAGCCCCCTCCCTGCGCCCGCTGCCCGCCCGCCCGGCTCACCAGTGAGGATGGAGAGGCGCCGCATGGCCGGGAACGGGTGGTTGCCGGACGTGTCGAGGATGTCGAGCTGGTAGACCTCGCCGCGGATGGAGTAGAACTTGCGGTGGAAGTCCTCGATGGTGGGCGTGTAGGCGTCTTCGAAGCGGCCCGTGAGGAAACGCGACACGATGGCCGTCTTGCCCACCTTGGACGAGCCGAGGATGACCATGCGGTAGCAGTTCTTAGCCGGGATACTCAGCTCCGAGTCGCTCGGGCACATCTTCTTGATCATCGCGGCCAGTTTCATTGGGCGGAGGGGCCGCGGGGGCGGGGGCGGGGCCGAGAGAAGCGCAGAGGGTGGCCGGAGCGCGCGGGGCTGAGCGGCCGGGCGGCTCTGCTCGGGCTCCGGCGGGGGGCTCGGCTCTGCTCTCCGACGAAGTCGCTCGCTCCGGCTCTCCGCGCTCTTCGGCCGCCCTTATATGCAGCCCGCCTGGCCGCCCCGCCCCGCGCCCTCCCAGCCTCGGTGCGTCACGCCCCGCGGGCCCCCGCCGCTCCCTCCCGCGACCTCGGAGGGCCGCTGTCAGCTCCTGCCTGAGCGCGAGAGGGAAACTGAGTCCAGGGTCCCGCTGGGGCGGGGCGTGAGCGGACCCTGCGCTTTTCCACTGCACCGGGCCCAGCGGCCGAAAGGGCGTCAAGGTTGTAGTCCTCCTGGCTGTGCCTCTGACCCTCTGTGACTTCAGGCAAGGATCCCACCATCAACACACACCACGTACACACACACACACACTTTCTTTGGGCCTCAGTTTCCCCAGAAAATAACAATAGCGATCCCGCAATAAAAGGTGCTTATCAGGTGCTAGGCACCGTGCCCAGGCCCGTGCGCACCCCATCGTTTTCAGGCCTGAGCGCAGACGCCGGGCGCCAGCCCCTCTTGGTCCGCAAGCGGGTGGTTGTTCCCGGGCAGCGACGCGGGCTCCGGCCGCCAGAGGGCAGCACAGGGCCCCGCCGGCCGCGCTCAGGGCTGGCATGCGGGCGCAGCGGCAGGGTTGGGGTCTGCGGGGTTCCCGGGGGCGGGCCTTGGGTCGCCAGGCCGGGACCGGGCAGAAGCCGCCTCCAGCGCCGCGCTCCACTGCAGGCCTCAGTTCCTCCTTCTCAGGCTGCTCCCGCGAGCAGCCATGCTCTGCAGCCTGGCAGCAGTTTCCAGCTGGGGCTGTCCCCTCCTTTTCCTGTCCTCCATCAGGCCTAGGCCAATGTCCCCTCCTCCCCCTCCCATAGCATTTTGTGCCTTTAGAGTCCCTTGGGCCGACATTCCCATTTTATAGTTGTGGGAGTTGGGTCTGAAAGCCACAGACTGAGCCCAGGAAAGCCCTGGGCGGACAGCACAGTCTCTTGCCATCCGTCTCTCGGCCTGTTTCCTCTTTTGGAAGATGGTGGTTCTGGTTCTATGATCGTCGATGAGAAATTGCAAACCGTTTAGGCGGCAGGACCTGGTGGTAACAACAACAATAAATGACCCGTGAGGCGCAGGGCTGGCGGGGTGTGGGGGGGTCAGGAGCAAACCAGGGGGCAGCGGGTTGATCAGTAACCAGGAGTGGGCTGGTGCTGCTAAGCAGCCTGGAAGTAGGCCGTCTGGAGTGAACTGGCCCCGGCCTGGAGCTCCTGGGAAAGCAGTTTCCCCGGCTGGTGGGCGGGGCTGTGCCGTTTTGCTTCCGCGGTGTCTGATTTGGGAGAAAGCTAGGGAGCCCTTAGCTGTGCCACCCACCAATCCACACTGGTCAGGGTGCTCTGGGCAGTGCTGGGGTGCACCCCGCAGCTGTTTGCACAGCGCCTGTGGAATCGCAGCTGCCCTGGGGCGGGGCTGCCCTCAAAGGCCATCTCGTCCAGCCCTTCTATGACCAGGATTCCAGCAGAGTCTCACACACTCTGCAGGGTGATGCCAGGAGAGGGTTTATTCCATGCCAGGCACTGTTCTAAGTCCTTCCTCGTGGCGACCTTGAGGAGTGGGAACTATTACTGTGTCCATTTTACAGATGGAGAAACTGAGGCAGGGGGGAAGTGACTTGCTCAGCTAGTAACCACCGCTGGGGATTGAACCCAGGGGGCTGGCAGTCCTGGCTCCTAACCACCTACTCTCCCCCTCCTCTGACTGTGGCTCTGCCTCCAGCACGGGATGTCTACTGGCTGTGGGACGTTGGTGCCCCATTTCTCAGGAGCACCGCCCTTGGCTCTCCCCACCCCTTTCCACGCTGTCCCCAGGCCTCATGCCCACTGTTGATGAGGTATTTCAAAGGTACACATCACTTGATGAGCACCCAAGGGCTCACCACCCAGATCTAAGATGTGTCAACGGCCCCCAGCCCAGCTGATTCTTGATGTCACTTATGCAGGGGTTGTCCCACAGGGCCCCCCCCAACCCCCACCGCTCTTGCCCCTGTTGAGGCTGCCCTCTCCTGCCTTCCACCTCCGAGGTGAGAAGGAACTGAGCCTGTGCCCTGCACGTGGGGCTGCTATGGACGGTGGGCCTTCCCTGCAGAAGGGGACCAGTTGAGCGTGCAAGTGGGGTCGCTGCATGCGCCTGCATCACCCCCAGACCAGGGGTCCTTCCCCTGCCTCCCACAAAGGTCCTGGAGGGGCAGCCGGGCTCTGAAACGGGATGGCTCCTTACTGATGGCCGCAGCCGGGCCAGTGTAATAGGGGCTCCCGCGCAGCCACGCCCGCCACAGCCTAGAGTCCTAGGAGGGCCTCTTGGAAGAGCAGAGGCCCGGAAGCGGCAGGGGAAGGGATTCGAACCCAGCTCTCCTTAGGGAGATCCAGTGGGCCAGGACCCAGCCTAGATTCTGTGCCCCTGCCTCCACCCCAGGTCACTCCGACTCCTTCCAGCTGGTGACAGTGGCAGGTACTGAACCCAGCCTGGGTTCTCAACCACAACAATTCCTGGTACCTTCTGGGCATGTCACCCCACCCCACAGATGCCAGGTTATAAGACTCCTTCTCCCAAGTCAGCTGAGTTCACTAAGTCCTGAGCTCATCTGTCCTTCACACCCCCGAGCCACCGGGGGCCCACTCCCCCAGGAAGCAGGCAGCAGTGACCCTTGTTAGCCGGGGCCACCTCATTTCCGCCTCCTTTTCGGGGGGTATCTCTTTATTACAAAGGTTACACACAAGCTGTTTCAGAAAGGGACAGAGTGAGAGGGGCTGGAAGCCGTTCCTCTCTGCCCACCCCCGGAGTGGGGGGGGGGGGCGCGCCTGCGCAGATGCCCCATCCAGCCCTTCATTATCTGAAGCCCCCTTTCCTGCTCTTCCGGGGTGGCCTTCGTGACCTCACGCCAGGCCCTGCCCCAGGCTGGCTGAATCTGACTGGCCTGGGGTGAGTGGTGTATTTTCCACAGGTGAGTCCTCTGGTCCAGTAAGCAGGGACATTCGCAATCCCACACGACCATCAGTGCTCTGGCCTGGCCCGTGCACACTCTGGGCCCCACACTGGGGAGGGGACATGTGCACTCCCGCCCCCCGCCCTGCAGCCAGAGCATCATGTGTATGCTGTCCAGGTTCATAATGGTTGCCGAGATGCCGTTTCCCGTGGGTTTGGGCCTCAGACCAGGAGCAGCCCCGCCAAGGCCGAGGCCGCCGTAGGCAGCATCTGCTCGCACAGCAGCAACTGCCCTGCTCAGAGTGTGATGGGAACTTTTAAAAGTATTTGACCAAATGTTGGGGGTGGATCGGGGGAGGGGTGCAGCGGGCCCCCAAGGCAGGAAATGTCTGCCACAGCTTGGTCTGCCGGCAGAGTCATTTAGAAGGTTCTTAAAAGCTCCATTGGAGGAGCCCAGGCAGGCCCTGGTCAGGGGTCCTCTGCGAGCACCCATGTGCCCAGGTGCTGTCATGCTGGCCCGAGCCCACCCCTCGCAGCTCCCTGCACAGAGGACCCTGAGCTCCCATCTGTCCATGGTCCACGGCCTGGCCCACCCTGGTCCACAGCAGGCATATGAACAGGAAGGAGCTGAAGAGGTGCTTCGGCCCACCAGGTGCCCCCGTCCTCACCCGAGGTCAGAGCTGGCTGGGAGTTTCCTCGCCAGCATTGAGCGCTGTTCTGTTCACAGCAGACCCTTCTAACAACAGCCAGCTCTGCCCATGGCTCTGGCCCTGCCTCCCACAGCCATGTGGACCAAGGGGTCAGGACGCCGGGAGCTCAGCACCCCTGCCCTAACAAAGGGGCACCTGGCCATTGGGGGCCAGCCTATCCTCAAAGGCTGTGTGCAGATGTCTTTGTGGAGGAGTGAGCTCTCTGTTCCTAGGGGTGTGCAAGCAGAGAGGCAAGGATTGAAGCATTGGGTAAAATCAGACCAGATGCCTCTTGTGGCCCTTCAGGTCCTGAGCCAGACTCAGAATTCCAGAAAGCAAAGAGAAAGCCTCAAGGAGCTCCACAAGTGACAAGGGAGGCCCAGCCAGCCCTGCCTGAGCACCTGCTGTATACACAAGGCAGGTATGACTGATGGCCATTTCACAGATGAGGAGACTGAGGCTCTGAGAGCTGTGCACACAGGTGGAGATCAAGATCACCCTGGTCCCCCAACTTGAACTGGGGAAAAGGCCAACCTTGTGTCCTTGGAGGGCTTGGGGCCCGCACAGGTAAGGCTGGGGCCAGGGGCAGGTCCCGTCCACACGGCTCTGCAGGCGGGCTGGACCAACACACCTCAAATGGTCACTCGGCGTGCTCCTCGTGGTGACACGAGGTCCACGAGGGGTTAGGAGAGCATGTCAGTGGGAACCAGAGACGCCAGGTTTGGCCTGAGTGGGGGCTGGGGCCTCGGGAGCCCCTTCTCTCTCAACGGCTCTCAGCCAGGCAATGGGGCACACCTCAGTTCCAGGCCACGAGCTGTTACTCAGGTACAAGCCACCCAGCCTCGCTGAGCCCCGAGTCCTCTGCTACCAAACAGAGTGACCCCTGCCTGTTTGGCAGTCATGAGACACAGTCAGTGTGGAGCCGGCCACAGAGCAGGTATGTGTCCAGAGTCCGTGGCCCAGCGCCCATCCCTTCCCCTCCCGCCCGGGCTCAAGCTGCGAGGCAGCTTTGGGGAAGCAAGCGAGCCCTCCTTCTCCCCAGCCCAGTCCCCCAACTGCCTGCTCTGTGCCAGCCCACAGGGGCACGCGCATCTCCACCCAGAGACAGGTCCCTCGTGGGCCCAACAGAGGTGAAGCGCCAGGCACAGGCTCAGGCACATTTAGACTCCCCTGATAACCCTCAGGACCCCCACAGAGGTGATCTGTCCCCACGGCCAGCTCATCTGGGTGTCATGGCCCAGGCTTCTGCAATTAGTGCCCCGGGGGTCCGGACCCTGGCCCAAGCCCTTGGCCTGACCCCAGGCTAACTAACATGCCTCCCTCGGGCTAACTAACATGCCCCCCCAGGCTAACTATCATGGCCCCCCCAGGCTAACTAACATGCCCCCCAGGCTAACTGACATGCCCCCCAGGCTAACTATCATGCCCCCCCCCGGGCTAACTAACATGCCCCCCCCGGGCTATCATGCCCCCCCAGGCTAACTAACATGCTCCCCCAGGCTAACTAACATCCCCTCCCCCACGCTTCCAGGTCACTTTTTACATGTTCAGCACAGGTTTACTCTCTGGGCATTTTCCCAGGACGGCAGCTTACAGGGGCTGGGAGCCCATTGGCATGTGGGGCTGTCGGGCCACTGGGTGGGGTGATGACACCCCCACCCTGAGGCTGGGCTGGCTCCCCAAAGGGACGTGGCAGAAGAGAAGGTGCTGGGGCAGGGGTACAGTGGGTGGCACAGGAGGCCTGAACAGCTGGGCAGGCCCTTTCCTGCCACTCACAGATGGTGCTGCCCACCTCAGGGCTGCGATGCCTCAGTGAGCGGGCTGCTGCGCCAGCCTGGCCTGGAACCTGTGGGGAACGTCCCCCCAGATCCCCAAGTCCGCTCCTTCCCCACCTGGACGGACAGAGGCCTGGGGGCACGCTGGGGTCAGGAGGCCTTTATTGGTGAGTCAGGATGTGGTGGGGACAGAGGGGCGGGGGCCTCAGTGGCCACATGGCAGCATGTCCAGGGCCCCCAAGGCAGCGATTTGCAAGGCACTGGAGTGGCCCACACCGGGCACGAGCACCAAGCTGTGGCCAGGCACCGTTGTCCCCCTCAAAGGGCTTGTCACTTGGGGCAGGCCAGGAGCAGCAGAGCCCCACCGGGACGGCCGTGGCCCAGTCAGCTTCTCTTGTGGGACTGGGAGGCTTTCTGCCTGTAGATCTCGGCGGTGAAGGGCCTGTGGGGGCGAGGAGAGAGGCCAGGTCAGCAGGCCTTGGGGGCCATGCCACCTCCCAGGCCCTGCCTCCCGGAGCGTGGACAGAGCGAGGATATCCGAGTGGGACAACGAGGGCCCAGGGCCGCCTCGTCACCGCCTGTTGGGGCCCTCAGGCCCCACCGTGCCCCATCTAAGCTTCCTGAGTGCTGCTCTGACGGTGACCTGGTGTGGCCCAGCCAATGGGCAGCCTGGCCCGAGCTGCCCTGGTCGGGGGAAGGCTCTGGAGGGAGAGGCAGGGCCAGCTGGGCGGTCACACTGATGTCAGACAGCAGCCCTGGCTCCAGGGCCTGGGACACTGCCTACTCACTCCTCATACAGGACAGCGACCACGTAGATGAGGGCCACAACCACGGTCAGCAGCAGGCCGGCGGGGCTGGCGTGCCTGCAGAGAAGACGCCCAGTCAGTGGTCCAGCAGGGCCAGGCCCTCCCTGCCATGTTGGGGCCCTGCGGCCTGACGACATGCACCAGATGCCCCCCTTCCTGAGCCCAGCTTTCCCGCTCAGACCAGGGCCCCCGCCATGGGCATCCTGACCCATTGGCCAGCTCGCCGCCTGCCTGCCGGGGCTGCCTGGGGTCCTCAGGGCAGGCCCACACCACTTCTCTTGGGTCTCTACCTCGGCCGGGAGCTCAGGACAGAGCAGGCGCGAATCAGGGAAGGAGGGAACACAGGCCTCTCAGAATGGCTGAGTAGCCACGTGTCCTTTTCTGTGCAGGAGGATGCTGTTCTCACGTAAGGAGATTGTTTTCTCGAAATGGGTCCAGGTCCCCAAAGCCAGGTAGATTGTCTGAGGGCCTCTCCCCAGGCTCTCTGCTGTGACTGCCACACCGAGGAGCCTGGGAGCCTCTGCCGTCAGGCTGTCCCCCATCTTTTCTATAGTTACCTCTGATCCCACAGGCTCCATAGGGGCTTGGCCACTGGGTCGAGAGAGGGTGGGGAGCAGGCTCATGGGGCCACAGGAGAGCCCAGGAGCCAGTGGGCACATGGGCCCCAGGTGGGCTCTCTGTCCCCAGCCCTGCCTCCTTCACAGGAGCTCCAGGTGGGGCCCAGGGCCAGCGGGGAGGCTGGCGGGGGCGGGCAGCTTGATGTGTGCACCCTGCGGGGACCCTCTGCCCTACCCACTGCCCACATCCCAGGACACACACTGTCTGTCTGTCCGCCTGTGAGCTCTGGGAGGGACAGTGAAGACCTGAGCACTTCATGAAGGCTGTCCCCCTCCCCAGGGCTCCATTCAAATCACCCCTGAGGGCAGAGTGGGCCTCTCGTCCTTGCCACTGCCACATGGAGAGGCTAAGGCCAAACAGAGACCCCTCTGGGCTGAAAGGAACTCTGCCCCCGGAGCTTTGCTCACTGGCCTTAGTGTGGTGGCCCAGAGGCAGCAGAGTCCTCAACCCACGAGCCAGGCACCGGGGAGCCAGGGTGGAGCAGATAGCAGGCTGGACCCCGATGTGGGCAGACCTGCCGCCAGCCAGCCCAGAGGCCAGGGCTCCGTGGCCACAGCGACCCTAAGACTGATGACTCCATGCCTGGGAAACCAAGTTAACTAGGAGCCACTGAGGCCAGAGATGGGTGCAGCTCCTGCAGCTGGCCTCGGCTGCCCCCCAGGTGAGCCCCCGGCACTGGGCCCCAGATCGTGAGCCAAGCAGGCACCCCTGCTTGTAGTTATGTCTGTGTGAAACTTCCCTTTCAAAATGCTGTCACCCCCTGATCTTGACATCCTAACCACCCTGTGTGGACATGACCATCCCTCTCTGCAGGTGAGGAAACTGAGGTCGTGACCCACATGCCAGAGCCAGGCCTGGCCCTGAGCCTGGGTGGTGGCAGGGTCCAGGCATCCAGCTGTGCTTCTAGGGGAGGGGGTGTCTCATTCACGCTAGTGGGCTGGGAAGGGGGGGCCTGGTGAGGGTGCAAGGCCCTGGGCCCTGCTCTTGGCCTAGTGCCCCAGGCATCCTGCCAGGGCTCCCCACACCTGGCTGCTCAGGCGCCAGGGAGCCCCATCTGTGGGGGCCCAGGAGGGAGACAGATGGACCGCAGCAGCCGAGGAGCAGCCCTGCTGGGTCAGCGTCTCACAGCCCGGGTGACTGCTCATCTCTAAGGAGCGCTCAGGCGAGGCTCCAGCCCCAGCACAGCACAGCACTGCACAGCTGATGTCCTCCTGACAGGGCCTCCTTAGGATGAGAACCCTGGCCTGACAGCCCTGAGGTGGGGGTGACCTGGGCACAGAGGAGACCCACGTGTGGCATCTGCCCTTGGAGAGCCCGTTTGAGCAGAGAGGAGACATCTATGGGGGAGCAGTCAGGGAGGGCTTCCTGGAGGAGGAGACATTTCCAGTTGGTTTTGGGAGGACCAACCGAGGGTACAAGTGGGAGAGAACAGCGTGTGCTCTGGCAGGGAGAAGGGAGGGGCTCCGCGTGGGGGAGGCGAGGCTGCAGTGGGGTCCTGCGTGGGAGATGCTCTGTGGAGCGGGTGAGTGTGCAGATACCCAGCCTGCCCCTCGGGAGCCTACTGCCAAGTCCAGGCGAGAGGCGCCAGGCTGGAAGGCAGGCGGCTGGGGACAGACTGGTCTGGAAGTCGGGCTGGGGTCCCAGTCAGACCCACGAGCCCCTCTAGCTCCTCCTCACTCAAAGCCCAGTGCTCGGATCTGGGGGCCTGGCTCCGAGCCCCGAGGGTGGGGGTTGGGAGGGAACATCTTGCTGACACTGCACCATTTGAGAGTCACTCCTGTGGGTCCTCTAACCTTTCTGGTCTCTGGAAGCACCTGTAACATTCTAGGCAGGTGGTTTTCAAGTGTTAAATAAAGAACCCTTTCCGCAAAAAACCTTCTGTGGAAGGAGCCCCAGTGCAGAAAACGGTCAGACAGGAACTGCTCTGCAGGCTGCGTGGTTTGAAGCCAGAGCCCACAGTGCTCCCTGTACTGGCCTCCTTGACTTTGGGGCCTCTGAGGGGCGTGAAGGGGAGGCCCGAGCCCCAGGGGTCACTTGTCAGTCCCCAGAGCTGGCGGAGGCAGACAGCAGTCAGCCCTGGGCCCCGGTGCCCCCTCTGCACAGACGCACCCCTGCCGGGCTGGAGGCCGCCAGGGCCGTCCAGCCCTGATGTCCTAGCACACGGTCAGCAGCCAGTGGTACATGGGCCAAGGTCGTCTTTACGTTTTTAAATTGTTAAAAAAAAGAATCAAAAGAATATTTTGTGACACATGAAAACTACATGAAATTCAAATTTCAGCGTCCGTGAATGAGGCAGTGCTGGCCTGGCCATGCCCATTTGCTTAGTGCTGGCTCGGGGCTGAGCCCACCAGCCCTTTCAGGAGAGTGCGCCAGCCCCTGTTCTAGGATGCTGGTTGTTCCACAGATGAGGGACCCTGACACCATCCTCAGGCTCCCAAATGCCGCGGGCTGACCGTGGTCCTTGCGGACGTGGCCATCAGGGAGCGGGGAGGCCTGCTACTCACATGATGGCCCAGCCCAGGTAATTGGCCGTGCTGCCCCAGTACATGGGGTTGTCCAGAAGGTTGAATGGGAACGTGGTCACTCTTGCCTCCTTAAGGATCCCGAAGTAATCACCTGTGGACAGTAGGGCAGGAGCGGAGGGTCACATCCTGGCCACACCATTACTGAGGGAGGCCTCCGGGCTCAACCTGGGAGGGCCTGCCCTCCAGGAGGCTCCAGGCCAGGGGGGAGCAGGTTTAACAGTGTGCTGAGTGAGGGGGCACCCCGGGTGGTGGGCCACTGAGACCACAGGCATGCAGACACCTCAGAGGGCACGAGGTCTCCAGGGTGCTGGAGACGCAGCTGAGGCGCTGAGCCCTACCCCACTGCCATCTGCTCCTCTCCTCTGTGCCTCTGCACAGGCTGTTCCCTCTGCTTAGGATGCCTCTCCCTGATCTGCATACAGCAAGCCCTCTTCCCGCTCTGGACTTCTCTCCCGCGGCTCAAGGTGCCTCCTGACGGAGACCCTTCCCACCTGCACTGTCTCAGCAGGCCTGCCTCCTGCCCATGCCCTCCCTCCTTGCCCCAGATGTGGCCTCAGCGAGTTCCTCCCCACCCCTAGGGAAACAACAGGGGCTGCTCTGCTCCTCCACCCTGGGCCCCCACTCGGGAGGTCAGCCCTCGTATTGCCGCTTTCCCACCAGCAGCTGGCCCGGAGCAGCTGGCCACAGTACAGAGTGTGACCATCGGACGGCTGATCCCAGACAGGCCAGTGACCCAGCCCTCGCCTCCCCCCGCAGTGCTCAGCCCCTAGCACAGCGGCCGCTCCGTGAAGGGCACTGCCCTGTTCTCTCGCTTCCTCTCCCCAGAAGTCCCTTGGAGCTTTCTCCAAGCAGAAGTAGGGCAGCCGCAGCAGGAGGGATGGCAGGAGCTGCGTCACTTGTTGTCTGGGACAAAGGGTGCAGGGCCGAGGAGCCGCCCAGGGGCTGCAGGAGGCTTTTTCCCAGGAGGCAGGAAGTGGGGCTGCAATTGGAGGCAGGTGGCACAGAAACCCGCTTTGGGGTGACTCATGGCAGGGACTTCCAGAGCCCAGTGGGCCCCTCAGAGTTTCTGGGCCATTTCTTTGAGGGGATGGGGGGGGGCGCTGCGGTGGCTGCTATCCTCAGGCTCCTTCCCACTCACCCCACCCCGCCTCACCCCTCCACAGGGCTTTCCCCACCCAGCCCTGACCATGCAGTGGACCCCCACACTGCCTGGGGGCTCCACCAGCCCCTTCCTCAGCTCTCTGCCCACTCTGCCCGTGGCACTTGTTGCTGGAGGGCTGTTTACCCCTGGGCTCCAGAGGACCGGAACCACACAGCACGGTGCCCCTCCCTGGGCCCCAGCCTCTCCTCCCTCCCGTGGTCCGCACCCGGCTCTGCCAGGCCCACACTGTGATCCCCCCCTCCTCCCTGGCCCCCTGGTCTCAGCCCCACCAGTCCATCCTCCTTACTGCTGGGAGAGGACCCCTCTTCTGGCCCCCGCCTCCCTCGGAGTGAAGCTCCGTCCCCTGCATGGCCTTCAAAGACCCATGTGTGGTGCCCCTGCCCCAGCCTGCAGCCCTGGCCCCACTGGCCCCTGTGCACCAGCCACCCTGCCCTTGAGTTTGCTGTTTGCACACAGGCCTTGCCTTCCCACCCACTCCCACCCGGCAGACCCAGGCGACCCGACTCCCCCTCTTCCTAGGTCCCTGCCTGCATGCCCTCTTCTAGCAGCGGGCTGCCTACGGCTCCTGCCTGAGCACGAGGCACGGAACTGCCTGCTGGAGCCCACTGCTGTGGGCACCCCAGCCCGCGCTGGGCCCACGGCAGGGCGGCCGGGAGCGCTGGCCCTCAGAGGATGGCTACTCCCGAATGCGCCTCACCTGCCCACGCACATGAGCTCCTCGGGAGCTGCGGGCCCCTGCTGCAGCCTGCCCTGCCCGGCCTGAAGTCTACAGCCCCGCCGACCGTGGATAGAGACACCCAGGCAAGCTGAGGGCGCCGGAGGCCACCCCGGGCCCTGGAGGAAACAGGCAGGACCCCCCCGCCGCCCGGTGAAGGGCTGAGAGGGAGGAGGATCCGGGAGCCCCTGACCCAGCACGTCAGAGAGCCAGCACCGTGTGCCACCTGGGGCTCCCTCTGTGGGCAGTGCTGCCCTCCTTTCTTGCTCTGCCCCTCCCCGAGGCTGCTCTCCTTCTGGGGCTTGCAAGTTGCTGGAAGTTGCTGATGTCCTGAGCACGTCCGGCCCGGCCAGCACTGGGCTCCCAGCCTGAAAGCATGGCAGCTGCAGGCAGGAGGGCCTGCAGAGGAGGGACAGCGCCACCTCTCACCTGCCCCAGACCTGCACCAGCACCCGCTTGTGGCCCAAATGCAGCAGACCTAAATCTGCCTGGCCTGGCAGCCAAGCAGCCAGCCAGCTTCCTGAGCTAAGCATGGACAGGCCAAGGCCAAGAGCAGGAAAGCCAGCCCCACAAGACACCACAGATGGCAGGGCAGTCGGCCACCTGGCCCCAACTCCTCCCCTGAACCCCGAGTGGGTCTGCTCAAGGTCCACAGCCTTTGGGGTCTTACCTAGGAAGGTCCCGGTGAAGCCCAGTGCAAAGAAGCTGGAGAGCACAAACACAGTGCCCACTCCCAGGAGCGCAAGGCCCACGCAGTAGGCCACGGGGTTATCCAGACTCTCCATCTTGGGCTGGCTTAGCATGGCCTGCGTGAAGCTGTGGGGCAGGGGACAGGGGAGACAGGAGGTCACTGATGTGGAGAGGGGGCCACCCCACCCTTCCTGCCCCTATCCTTCATGTGGCCCCCAGAGCAGCCAGTTCATGGGTCTCAAACTCAGCGCCTGCTGGGGCCAGGCAGGTTACACAGTGGCTGCAGGTGGAGTGCACCTGGAGACCACCATCCTGCCCAAGGGGTGCTGCCCTGCAGCAGCAGCCCCCTGCCACCACCAGGGAAGTGACCAGAATGTGCCCAGGTGTGCCAGATCTTTTGGTTTTTCAAGATAAGTCAGAAATGCTGACTCGTATGTGAAATATCCTAATTTTTAGAAACAGGCAAGGCATGAAAACCATTTTGGACTCTGTAAATGTCAGAAGGCTGGATTCAGCCCACAGGCTACCAGTTTGCAAATTCCGTTCGTATCTAGTTGGCAACTGGTACTGCAGAGGCAAGCGGGGCTCAGGAGGTTAAAGATGACACCCCAGGTAGTGCGGCAGGCCCCAGGGCCCACGTGTCTCTGCAGCGGGCGTGTGCCACACGTGACCGTGGCGTCCCACTCCCCGAGTGGACTCGGCACCCTGAAGCCTGGGGCACGCTCTGCCCCTTTCCCGCCTCCACGGCCCCTGCGCAGGGCTGGCTGCATCCCAAGCGGCACCTCAGAGACTCAGGATGTCTCCCCTCCACACCTGAAATGCCCTTAGCAGTCTCCCTTTGGGGCCAAGCCATGGAAGGCCTAGTTAAAAGACAAGTGAGTTGACCAAAATGGTGACTCTGCTAGTGGTTTTGGAGGTTCAGGTTCTCCAGTTGGCTCCTGAAGACTGGAAGGCCTGGTGTGAGTAGGGCAAAGCGACTAGGCTTGGGGTGATACGCAGGAGCAAGGCTCAGGGGCTGCCTCATTGTGGGGGAACAGGCCCTGGCAGGAGGGACACACTCAAAGGAAAGGATGTGCACGGGAGCTAGTGCATGCACGTACCACAGACACACGCTTCCCATTCCCCCCCGATCATAACACTCAGAAGAGACAGGGAGATCTCCTGCCTCATGCAGGGCATCGACTTGTATTCACTCTTTACCAGGTACCTCCTAGCAGGGCAGCTCACTATCCACCCACTCACTCATCCATTCACCTGTCTATCCATCCATCTACATCCATCCATCTGTCCATCTATTAGTCTACCCGCTATCCATTCATCCATCTACCCACTCATCCACATATCCATCCACCCACCCATGTCCCCCTCCATCCAACTGCCCATCCATCGTCCCATCTCTCCACCCACCCTCCCTCCATCCATCTTTCCGTCTATCAATCTGTCCTCTATCCATCCGTGCGCCTATGCATCTGAGCATCCATCATAAGGTACCTCTGTTTGCCAGGTTCTTCCAAGCAGAACAAACTCATCATCTTCATTCATTCATTCCATTGGTAAATTCACCTTGTAAAACTATCCTCATGTGAAGCTAAAAACTGCCTCCCTGGAACTCTTTCCTCAAACTATTTTCAGCTCTTAGAGAACAGAGGCTGTTCCTCCTTCCTGTGAGGATCTCCCTGGCACCTGGCACACACCAGGCAGAAAGGGTTATTGTCCATGTTCATCAACTCGAGGGGACACGGCACCCCTCGCCCCAGAGTGCAGGAAGGGGGACTGGGAGAAAGGTCTGGAAACAAACAGCAAACAGGACACTGCACAGAAGCCTGCATGGTGACCTGGCAAACAGGGGCACATGGGTCAGGCACACCTGGCCACCGGTCACACTGCCCACACCCCCAGCTCTCCACCCACCACTGCCCTCCCTCTGTCCTCCTGCTGCTCGGGCTCAGGGTCACCCTGCAGCTCCAGGCTGAGCCGCCAGGACTGACTCAGGGTCACACAGCCAGTGTTGTGCGGGCCGCCAGCCCATGCCCTGCCCTTCCATGCCCTCACCTGACTTCCCACTAAACCAGCAGACCTACCCTCTATGCAGCCCAAGGACCCAGGTACACCTTCCACCCTGCAGACACCGGCAGCCGAGGCCACAGAGCAGCCAGTTTTGGCACCCAGCCCCACATCTCCCATCTATAGATGGTGGGAGGGGGCATGGAGAGGGGGCAGGCTCTGGCAAGGCTGACTGCCCTGCTCAGGACAGGCTCAAAGGCCAGCCCCCTGGCTCCGTGGCTACCACCGCACTGGGGACCACGCAGCAGAGAGTATTTGTGTGTTGGGGGTGATGCTCAGACCTCCACACTCTTGTGGGCTGGGTGACCCCCACTGCCTGGCCCTGGACCCTGCCTGCCTACCTGTTTTGCTCTGGCACCTGTATCTCCGTTCCCTGGGCTGACTCCTTACCCCCACAGGACAATGAGGCCTGCTGGCACCATCTAACTGGACACGAGCTGCCCACAGCCCAGCATACTCATCTGCCTCAAGTTCTCTGGGGGGTGCTCTGTGGCAGCCCACTAAAAATGCTGAGGGCTCCTGGCAGAAGAGCGAGATTGGAGTTCAGACAGACCTGGTGGCCTGGGCCTGTTACCCCATCTCCCCGTGCGAGCCCGGCTGGTGGCTGTGCAGGCGGGAGCAGGGCCAGGCAGGGCTGTGCATGGGGCTTTGTGGACTGTGGGAAGGACAGAGGAGGGAGCCGGGGATGAGTCCGCATGACGGAGCACCGGGCACCGCAGGACAGGCACACTAGACAGGGGCCCAGAAGGCCACGGTGAGGCTTAGCTGAGATGTGACAGAAGAAATTTGCCATGGGAAGCAGGCGGGCAGGGAGAGCATTCCAGAAAGAGGAAGGGCCGGGTCTGGACTTCTGAAAGCTCAGGACAGGAGAGTGACGTGAAGGAGCCCGCAGAGGGGCCTCGTTGGCCTGTGTGAGATCTGCAGTGCTTTCTCTGTGGTGGGAGGTCACTGCTGGGAGCAGCAGAGCGGGGGACCAGTCAGGCTGTTGCAATAGTTGGGTTAGCGCCGGGCGGCTGGGGCCGAGGGAGCCCTGCCTCAGCCGGATATGGGGCTCGAGAGAAGCGGCCGGGGGCTGCGGGGCTGCGAGCTGGGTGGGCTCCAGCTCCCCTGCCTGAGGTCATTTGCGGCTTCGACGCAGCAGGCTGCCTGCGGGGGCGCAGGGCAGACAGAGGGGAGCCCTCTCCGTCCCACGCTGTCTGGAGCGGCTTCCCTGGGGGATGGCTCTGCAGGAAAAGCCATCTGGCTGGAAGCAGGTGGAGATGCCTGACGAAGGGCAGACCTAGGGCCGGTGGCCCTGATGTGGCCTCGTGGCTGCCCCAGACTTGCCCCTGGGCCTCTTTTCCATTCCTTCACCAGAGGGAGGAGAGGGTCCCGCAGGGCAGCACCTTTCCAAGCACCCTCGGCTGGGCCGTTCGCTCGAGGTCACCGGCCTTCCCGGGGTTTCTGTTCGGGCGCCCTTTGCACACAACAGGCAGCATGCTCCAGGGCCAGGAGCGGCGGGTTTTCGGACTGGTCCCAGTGAGGTGACCTGTGCTGTTCCGGCTCCTCCATTAAGCCAGGAAAGCACAGTCCATTCCACATGGAAAATTAAGGAAGGGATGAGTGGCTGTGTGGGCCCTGCACTCCGGACGAATGAAGTCAGAGGAGGCAATTTCCTTGGAAACAGTCTGCGCTGGGGGTGGGGGTGGAGAGACTCCTTCATTTGTCTCAGGTTCTATTTTCCAAACTTGGATTGAGCTTCCCGTCACTGTGTGACGAGCCACCTGCGCTGCACTCCCCTGCAGCCAGGAGTTGGGTGGAGATGGGGGCGGGGCGCCGCCATGCCCAGGCCTGTTCCCGTTCTCTCTGCACCTGACAAACCTCAGCCATTCGAGGTGCGTCTCCATGACAGGTCTGGTGAGCACGAACTGCTGCTCACGTCCTGTCTCCCCATCTCAGGCTCAGGGCACCTCGCACCCCATACTTCGCCCCGTACTAAGCAAAACCATCCACGAAAGTAGGCGTCTGACGGGCTTACTTGTTTTTTTCTAGCATACATTAAAATTAACATCTAACTGCTAAAACAAACAAAATGTTCATCTATGTCACCCCCCAAAATCATCAAGGGACTAGAATTTAGCGCTATGTTGGTGTACCAACTCTGCACATTTGAACACATCACCTTCTCAAAGTGTTTCCCAAACCCATCTCAGCCAGGAGAGGGTCTGTCGCCTCTTACCAGTCAGGAAGGATTCAGGTTCGGGTAGGACGGGCAGAACCCCAGGCCAACGGCTCCACCCGCCTTCCCAGCCCGAGAACAGTGGGAACACGCACCAACATCTCCCACAGCCCCGCAGGCCTGGGGCTCCCAGGCTGACAATCAGCCTCCTCGTGGGCCTTGGGGCGGGAAGGCAGCTGGGGCAAGGGTCCTCTTCTCCTTGCCTAGCTGTGGGTCCTATGCCCACGGCTCTGCAGGGGAAGGCCCCCTCTGCCTGGCCCTGGACCCGCCACCCCAGCCCCCTGTTGAGGTGCACCCACCCTTCCCCTGCTCCTACTCCCGGGCCCCTTTGCTCCAAGTAGCCAAACCTAGTTCCCCACCCCCTCCTGGTGAGAGGCCAGTTCTCCAGCTGCCCACCTGGACCCTGCCCCACCCCTTCCACCTGCACCGACTGTGGGCCTTCAGGCTTCTGCTTCCAAAGGTCCCGACATGCACCCCCCTACACAGCCCACTGACCCAGGCAGGTGACAACAGAACTCCAGGCATCAAGGGGTGAAAGGTGTCTGAAGGGAGCCCCTTGTTCCCCCAACCAGCCACCAGTTCTCAGGGTTCTAAGCTGGCATGGGCCTCCGGCTGCCCCCAGCGCAGGCCTGGCCTCCACCTGCCTCCTGCCCCAGCCTCCTGCTGGTGCACCTCCACCCGTTGCCCGTGCCTCCACCTCTAACCAGGGCCCTTCCCTCATGGTAGACCCCCAATGGCCCCACAGCCTGCAGAGTTACAGCTGACCCCACCTGCCCTCCCACTCCCTCAGCCTAGAACTCCCTTTCACAGCAGGGCAGGCAGACCCTCAAGGGGCTGCTCAGGG